CTTTTAAACCATAGTTGTCAACAGGGCTAGCCATTTCTAATTTCTACTAGCCCTGTTCATGTATTAGTTGTCCAGCAGCCGAAGGCTGGTGGCCGAGTCGCGAAGCGACGAGGGGGGTAGGTGCGGGAGGGGGTTTCCCCCTCCTGCTGGTGGGGGTACGGGGGGCCTCCCCCGGGAAATTTTGAAAATAGAGATGCCAAATTCTGCATTCTGGCTGTATTTTGGGTAAAAATTATATGTCACTCTATGATTGTACCTTAGACATTTTTCTATTCGAAGAAGTCCACATATATAATCATTTAGGGTATTTCGAATCAAATTTAAAGTTTACAATTTTGACATACAAAAATAATTATTATGATGTTAAAACATGTTTGAAAATAGATTTAATAATTATAATAATTATAATTCTAAGCCAATAAGTACCTGAGATATTCAAAATTAGGTCACCGTGACCTACTTCTTGTTGGACATTCAATGAAACCCTAAGATGCCTCAACTGACAAAGTTTGATGATTCCGAGCCAATAAGTAACAGATATAAATAAATATAGCCATAAAATGTCAAAAGTAGGTCACAGTGACCTACTTTTGGTCGATGTTCTCCGAAAACCCAAGGGGCCTAAACTTACAAAGTTTGATGATTCTAAGCTAATACGTACCTGAGATATTCAAAAGTAGGTCACCGTACTTTTTGGTCGACATTCTCCGAAAACCCAAGATGCCTCAACTGACAAAGTTTGATGATTCTTAGTCAATAAGTGCCTGAGATACTTAAATATAGCCATAAAATGTCAAAAGTAGGTCACTGTGACCTACTTTTTGGTCGACAATCTCCGAAAACCCAAGATGCATCAACTGACAAAGTTTGATGATTCTAGGTCAATAAGTACCAGAGATACTTAATTTTAGCCACAAAATGTCAAAAGTAGGTCACGATGACCTACTTTTTGGTCGTCACTCTCCGAAAACCAAAGATGCATCAACTCACAAAGTTTGATGATTCTAAGCCAATAAGTACTGGAGATACTTATATAAAACCATAAAATGTCAAAAGTAGGTCACGATGACCTACTTTTTTTTTAACTCTCCAAAAACCAAATATGCATCGTCTCACAAAGTTTGTGATTCTAAGCCAATAAATACCTAAGATACGTAAATATAGCCATAAAATGTCGAAAGTAAGTCATAGTGACCTACATTTTGGTCGACATTTTTTAAAGACCCAAGATGCATCTACTAACCAAGTTTGATGATCGTAGGTCTGAAGGTAATCAAAATATGCGTTTTAAACAATTTGAAATCAAATGCCTGCAAAATTCAAAAAGAGGTCATAGTGACCTACTTTTTCATAAATATGTTTTAAGGTCCCAAGATACATCAACTTACAAGATTTGATGATTCTAAAACTCCCAATGTCTGAAATAATGGGATTTAATGTTTCTAAAAGGATGTCATAAAGTTCAAAAAGTTGGTCACGGTGACCTACTTTTAAGTTGACATTGTTTGAGGACCCAAAATGCATCAACTGACGAAGTTTGATGATCATAGGCCTTAAAGTGTCCAAAATATGCCTTCAAATCAATTTGAAAACAAAAACCCACAAAATTTAAAAAGTAGGTCACTGTGACCTACTTTTGAGTTAACATGATGTGAAGTCCTAAGATGCATCAACTTACAAGATTTGATGATCCTGGTCCTTATAGTAAGCAAAATATACGTTTTTATTAATTGTAAATTTAGGTCAACTTTGAAGTGACCTCAAGACCATGCCCTTTTCCCCAGGGTAACTCCCCATGCAAATTTTAATCTTCAACATACTGTAAACCAACTTTTATTCGCAACGACTTTATTTCGCAATTTACTAGGGATAAACTAGTTCACGACGATTAATTTTCGCGATCAAGCCTTTTTGGATCTGTAGTGAATGCACAAATACACTTTAAGGACCGGTTCACGGCGAGAAATATTCGCAGTGATGAGGCTCTCATGAACTTCGCAAAAATTGCTCGCACGCGAATAAAAGTTGGTTTACAGTATCCTGATCCTTGTATGTAAGTTTGGTGAAAATCTGCCTGGTGGTTCTGGAGAAGATTTTTTAGCAACCAGTACTTTTGGTTTTGTTTTCCTGATTATCTCCCATTGTTTAAGGGTTCCAACCCTTATTTTAATATAAATGGTAGCCCTTGGGCCAAGGATACCCTATGACAAATTTGGTACTGATTGGCCAAGGGGTTCTTGAGTTATGGCCCACATTCTAAAAAGTTTACGCATACCGCACAGATGGTCATGGCATTAGCTCTTTGAGCCTTTGGCTCAGAAGAGCTAAAAACAGGGGCAATAAGTTCCCTGTCTACAGTATTCCCCAGAACAAAAATTCATACATGTTAACCTGTTGTGATGAAAAATAGGGAGATTCCGACCTCAAAAGCGGTAGCATTGCGCGCGTTGTTTTACGCTTGGATTTATGATGATATATTGCATGTAATATATATACATGTTTGGTCTTAAATGAAAACTACAAGAATTAATCTTAAATATCAACTGCAAAGAAGTATAGACAGAAACATCTTAAGTTTGATATACTTTAAATTATACAAATTCAAATATTTTTTCATGCTTATCGTTTTGCTTTGATTGGCTGCTTACTTAGCCTTTTGAAGTGATCTTTGCTGATATAGCCTAGAAGCAATAATTCTGAATGTTTATTCAGTTATCAAACAAAGCAAATGATGACATAGTTTAATCTAGAACTAAAACTAGTTCCTATTTTTCGTAAAATAAATCGGATTTCCCGCGATGATCGAAAACGAAAGTAGAGATGTGCCTCATGGCTTGGTCAATAGAGTGATTTCTATTGACTTTATTGATAAAACTGCGAGATTCTGTGCTTTCATAGACGATGTCAAACGTTTTCATCCAATTCTGAAATGTTGTATCTTCTTTTTTCATGACATGTCGACAAAATGTATCGTAACCAATGTAATCACTGAGTTTTGTGCTGTAGTCGTTGTCAAATACGTGCTTGAAATCTATGAACACATCGGTACAAAAAAAGCGTTTGTATGCTTCCGGGTCAAATCACGCGATATCTTACGAGATTTTACGACGAGTGGCTTCAAAAATGGAGACCCAAGCGAACCAAAAATACTTTAGACAAAACTTTTGTAGAAAAGCGGTAGATTTACGAATAAAATCGGTAGGCGGGAGATGGAGTGAAAAAGCGGTAGACTCCCGCCTAAATCGGTAGAGTTAACATGTATGAAAAATTAATCCGACCATATAGCATGCCTCACAAAAGAGTGTGCTAAAATGTCAAGCATCTGCGATGAGTAGTTGCTGAGAAAACTGTGACAAAAATTTGTTATGTATGGAACATGTACGAAATAGGCAGACGCATTGACAAACAGGAAGTTGACACCGGATTTGAACAAGAATAAATCCCACCATATGGCATGCCCCAGAGAAGATTGTGTTAAAATTTCAAACATCTGCGATGAGTATTCTGGTCCTGTGGTTCTTTGATTAGAACTGCAGAACTGTAGCTCTCCGAAAAAAAATAAAATTTTATAGACTGGAGAGCTACAGTGCCACCCATTGAAAAAACTGTATATTTATTGCACACAAAAAGTGTGATGTTCCTTGATTTATTTCTCCATATTTTTAAACTGTCATCTTAAAATATTACTAACCGTGTGTTCCCAACATATCCTTTCACTGTTTCCACTGAGTATATATATCTCAGTAGATTCTTTACGCAAGAGCATGCTCTACTTATAAACAAGTTCTAAAACGAGGTAAATTATTGACAAGCAAGTTGATGAAACAGGAATTTCAGCAGTCTCGTTTAAAATCATCATTTCATAAGTTCTATGGTCGATACAATGACCTTGTCAGCAAATACAATTTATCATTGAGTCAAATGCTGACTGACGTTTTTCATATCAATTGTTAGGTTGTTAGTCCATTATTTATACACTGAATGGACGACAGATTTTTTCCGTTATTTCCTGATCATGACGAGGAGCACACGGTGGGTGTGACCGGTCAGCATGGAATGCTCACTCCTCCATGGCACCTGATCCCACCTCTGACGTTTCGGAGGTCCGTGTTTGCTCTGCTCCTGTTTTGTATTGTTTTATGGACTTTGAAATTGAATACTGTTTGTTAACTCCATATTCTCAAACAATAACATATTCCTTATAATTGTTTTTAATAGCCCTCCTGGCCCGGAAATTGAGATCATCAAACATCTGGCCTATTTAAACTGCCATTTTGGTTTGCAAGATAATTCGGTCCAACGCACTTCGTACAGATGTAAACTACGAGAGTAATTGATAGAGGAGTAAGGAAATTGAGCTGTTTTTGCAAATGAGGTAAGAATTTGGAAGAATTAATCCAGAACCGAGCGCACTTTTTTGTGCGCAATAAAAATACAGTTTTTTCTATGGGTGGCACTGTAGCTCTCCGGTCTGTCATTATATTTTTTTTTTGGAGAGCTACAGTTCTGCAGCTAGTTCTTGAGAAGAAGATTTTTTAAAAGATGCCATTAATTTTACACCAATTCATAATTATCTCCCGTTTGAAGAGGGCGTGGCCCTTCATTTGAACAAATTTGAATCCCCTTTACCCAAGGATACTTTGTGGTAAGTTTGGTTGAAATCGCCCAGTGATTCTTGAGAAGAAGAAGAAAATGTGAAAACTTTACAACGATGCTGACAATGACAACAACAACGATAACGACGACAGAAAACGGACAAATTTTGATCAGAAAAGGAAACTTGAGTCTTCCGCTCAGGTGAGCTAAAAAGTGGTCAAATAAACTGTCATCAATTCATCAAAGATTTACTCATGAGAGAAAGTCAAGCTTAATGTCATATAATTTCTATGTTGAATGTCATAGAGCTCAGGACATTATTTATTGAACAGCCCTCATATACATATTTTGAATATAGGATTACTTGGCTTTGAAACCATAGCTTTTACTGGTGAAAAAATTACCTCTGTTAACACTGTGCATTCATATGATGGCTGGTATTTCTCCTACAAAAAAATTAAATGTTTAACCATATTAATATTACCAGTCTATTGAAACAAGTGTTATACAGCAACAAATTACAGATATTCATTTAAGAAAATTTAAGATGCAGATCCTAAGGAAAAAAAAACCTTCTCAGCTTCTGTTCTTTTCTCCATTTTTTCTCTGTCTGTCTTATGTTTTCTGTCCGCTCCCTTTGGCTAAAAGAATTGTAACAAGTTTTTGGTAGCATTAATCAAATTTGTTGAAACTTTACAGAGACACTCTCTTACACATTTTGAGCTGATTTTAATACAAGAGGCCCATGGGCCACATCAATCTTCTGAGCACTGTGGCTAGAAAAGAGCAAAAATTTATCTAGTAATGAACAAGAGGCCCAAGAACCTTGAATCACTGTTCTGATAAATTGTACAATCTATCACTTCTGTTTGAAGCCTCTTACTCTAAGTATCCTAAGATGCATGAACTGACAAAGTTTGATGATTCTTTGCCAGTTAGGACTGAAGATATTTCAGTATAGCTATAAAATACCATAAGTAGGACATGGTGACCTACTTTTTGATTTGAAACTTTCTGAGGACTCAAGATGCATTAATTGACAAAGATTGATGGTTCTAAGCCAATAAGTACCTCAAATATTAAAGTAGGTCACTGTGACCTTCTTATGGTTGACATTCTCCAAGGACCAAAGATGCATCAACTATCATGCAACTATCAAGTTTGATGATTCTAAGCCAATAAGTACCAGAGATACTTAAATAAAGCCATAAAATATCAAAATAGGTCACCGTGACTTATTTTTTGGACGACATTTTCCGAGGACCCAAGGCATCAACTGACAATGTTTGATGATTCTAAGCCAATGACTATCTGAGATAATTAAAAGTAGGTCACTGTGACCTACTTTTTGGTTGACATTCTCCGAAAACCCAAGATGCCTCAACTGACAACGTTTGACAATTCTAGGCCAATAAGTATCCAGGATAAGTAAATATAGCCATAAAATTCAAAACTAGGTCACAGTGACCTACTTTTTGGTCGACATGTTCCGAAAACCCAAGTTGCATCAACTGACAAAGTTTGATGATTCTAAGCCAAAAAGTACCTAAGATACTGAAATACAGCCAAAAAATGTTAAAACTAGGTCACAGTGACCTACTTTTTGGTCGACATTCTCCAAAAACCCAAGTTGTATCAACTGACAAAGTTTGATGATTCTAAGCCAAAAAGTACCTAAGATACTTAAATATAGCCATAAAATGTCAAAAGTAGGTCATCGTGACCTACGTTTTGGTCGACATTTTCCGAAGACCCAAGATGCATTAACTGACAAAGTTTGATGATCATAGGTCTGAAAGTATTCAAAATATGCCTTTTAAACAATTTGAAAATAAATGCCTGCAAAATTAAAAAAGTAGGTCACAGTGACCTACTTTTTCATAAATATGTTTTAAGGCTCCAAGATGCATCAACTTACAAGATTTGGTGAATCTAAACCTCTCAGTATCTGAAATAATGGGATTAAATGTTTTAGAAAAGATGAGCCATAAAATTCAAAAAGTAGGTCAGGTGACCTACTTTTAAGTTGACCTTGTTTAAGGACCCAAGATGCATCAACTGACAAAGTTTGATGATCATAGGCCTTAAAGTGTCCAAAATATGCCTCCAAATCAATTTGAAAACAAAAGCCTGTAAAATTTAAAAAGTAGGTCAACGTGACCTAATTTTGTGTTAACATGATGTGAAGTCCTAAGATGCATCAACTTACAAGATTTGATGATCCTAGTCTTTATAGTAAGCAAAATATCAACATTTTTATTAAGTGTAAATTTTGGTTAACTTTGAAGTGACCTTGAGACCATGCCCTTTGCCCCAGGGTCATGCCTTGAACAATTTTTAATCTTCAACATATCCTGAACCTTGTATGTAAGTTTGGTGAAAATCTGCCTGGTGGTTCTGGAGATTTTTAGCAACCAGTACTTTTGGTTCTATTTTCCTGATTATCTCCCCTTGTTTTAGGGTCCCAACCCTAGTTTTAGTACAAATGGTAGCCCTTGGGCCAAGGATACTGTGCAACAAATTTGACAATGATTGGCCAAGGGGTTCTTGAGTTATGGCCCATCTTCTAAAAAGTTAACCCACACCACACATCGCACGACGCACATTGCACAAATGGCCATGGCATTAGCTCTTTGAGCCTTTGGCTCAGAAGAGCTAAAAAGCTTAAATGCATAAGTGGTCCAAACTTTCCCTTAAAAGAAGGAAGGGAGGGGGGGTGTTGATTTGAATTAACTTGAATCTACATGCTTACATATTTCTTTGACTTACTGTGGCTTTTTCCCCATACATTTTGGACCTAACCTACCCCAAGGGTTTACAATTTGAACAAATTTGAATTTACACTACCTGAGGATGCTTCCATAGAAATATGACTAGTCATGGCTTTGTTGTTCATGATAAGAAGATTTTTAAAGATTTTATCTACAGGTAACTCTTGATGGCTCAAACTTTGATCTCTTGAAGCTCTTGAATGCTCAAAGTGAATCTCGGTTCCAGAAATAAGCAAATTTACTTTTGATTTCTCAAACTCTTGATCTCTTGAAACCCTTGATCCTAGAAGTCAAAATGCAGTCCTGCAATGCATATTCAATTGGAATTTACCTTTGATGGGTCTCAAGAAACGAGATGTGTTTATATAGTGTGTTCCCGTTTTGCACACATTTGATAATTAGGTATAGAACAATATAGGTGTGAAATGTGTTTTGATACAATTATAGTCTGATTTCTGGTTAGGATTTACCTAGGTTTACCTGTATTTTACTTATCATGAACAGGAAGAATAAATTTTTATTTAACGTATATGAATATTTATTGGAGAAGGTGAATTTATTTCATATATTTTAATTAATTAAGGAAGGTCCATACTTTTACGGATCCGGTTTTGATTTTACACACCCATATAAAATTCTGATTATCAATTGCCTATTTAAATAAAATCTTTCTGGATGACTGAAAATAATTTTGCAAGTATATATTTGTTTATTATAGTCCCAATGTGCATACAAAACATTTAATATACATTATTAATGGAAATTGACACTTTGCACTCTGTCCATAGGATCTACATGTCATTTAATACATACACAGACACAAAATCCTTAATTGCTTTTATGGATCTAAAGCTTTTAATATTTTATTTAAATAAACTAACTTGGTTTTGCCAAGAATGATTGAAAAAATTGATATTTCAAAAGTGGGGGTGTACGTGTTCAAAAGGCTGTTTTGTTAAATTTCTCTGGTCAATCTTAACTAGAAAACTGACCAGTCAGCAAGGGCCCCGCCATGGGGTAGAATTAAAAGGGTGCAGCTTACGGAATGACTCAAAATATACGAAAAATAAGCAACAGCAACTGTATTCTTAAAATTTCAAGATAATTCCTGAACATTCAAAAACCTGAAAATAATATCCTTGTACTTACATTAGGCAGTAAAGAATGACTTAACATTGAATGTATATTTAAACAATTATGAAGCTTGTGTTATATAAAATCCAGCCTTCAATGAATGCAAATATCATGAAGGCTTGACCTTAACTTCAAACAAACAGCAGTTGCAGACAAAGGTTTTCATTAATCTTAAAGACAGATAAAAAAAAGCCTACTAAATTTTCTGCAGCAGGCTAGATAATTAATCCCAAGGGATTAATTGTATCTCTCTCATCATTTTCTTTTAAAGTTACAATAAGAACTTTTTCAGTATTAATGATAGAATGGGGTTTTTATACAACTACCTTAAAAATTAATAATATTCTTGAATTAACATAAGTAACAAAAGTAAATCAAAAAATCTTCTTTAATCTATTTCTTGATTTTAGAATTCAATGAAATCATAACTATTAAACAAAAATAAATTATGAAAATTTATATTCAAATCCACATTTCAGAATGTTCATAACATTCCAAATTGACTAAACTTCAAAACAAACTTCATTTGCAGACAGAGGTGGTAATTCATCTCAATGTGACAGATAAAGATAATGCTCTGGATTTTCTTCAGGAGGAAAGCTAATTAATTCCAAGGGACTCATATAGCAGCATTCAGTTTACAATGGGAACATCTTCAGCAGTTATCTCTCTTTGCCAATGCATTCTTTTATAAAGTTAAGGAATGTACCCCATCACCCCAGCTCCAAACCAGGGGACATAGAGAACCAAACTTAGCATCAAAATATGTATTTCTGCCTACTGAACTACCATACCAAATTTGAACTTAATTGGGCAACCATAAAAAAAGTTGCCCATTCATTCTTATGCATAGTTAAGGAATCTACCCCACCACCCCAGCTCCAAACCAGAAGACATAGAGAACCAAACTTAGCATCAAAATATGTATTTTTGCCTACTGAACTACCATACCAAATTTAAACTTGATTGGACAACCATAAAAAAAGTTATTAGAAAAAAACAGAAAATTTGTGCGGAAGAGTGACAGACGGACAGACAGACGGACAGACAGAGTGATTACTATAGGGCACCCGCAAATCCTTGCAGGGCCCTAATAAAGTTTGTGTTTTTGTTAACTTTGGATATAATTCTTAATATTTTTTTTCAAACCAGAAGTCTCTGTCGAGACTGAAGCTCTACTGGTTTGAACTTATAGCAAAGGAAGAGAAAAGTACTTAAGCAGCTGGGATTTGAAACTAAATAGAATAATGATCGTTGATAAAGTCTCTTTATGTTCTTAGTGTAGTCTACTTGTGTGCCAAGTTATACTGAAATCAGACCAAAACTGTAGGAGGAGTCGCATTTTGAAACAATTTTACAGACATTTCTATTTTTAGTAACCACGGCAACACCGTTCATCAAAATTAAAATTCGATATACAGAATTATGTATCTTAGTGTATTCTACTTATGTGCCAAGTTATATTGAAATCAGACCAAAACTGTAGGAGGAGTCGCATTTTGAAACAATTTTACAGATATTTCTATTTTTAGTAACCACGGCAACACCGTTCATCGAAATCAAAAACCGATAAACAGAATTATGTATCCTAGTGTATTCTACTTGTGTGCCAAGTTATAATGAAATCAAACCAAAACTGTAGGAGGAGTAGCATTTTGAAAGAATTTCACAGAAATTTCTATTTTTAGTAACCACGGCAACACCGTTCATCAAAATTAAAATTCGATATACAGAAT